CTTATTTTGACAGTTTTTTGCTTTATTCTATTTCATTCTGGTTAATTTCTACTTTTAATTGTTTCCTCATATTTGTCAATTTTTATTATCTAAAAATAAACGAATGCGTTTGTTCATCGGAAATTATAATGAAATAAAAGCGAAGTGCATTGGGTGAAATGTCTGAAAAGCAGTTTGAGATCACTTTTTTTGCCAAGATTGTTAAGTGTTGATTAAAGTGAGAGTCCTCTGCTGCTCGTCTATAGATGGCTGTAAACTTGCAATACACTTAGTACTGATTGCGTAGAATAATCCTTGCCTTTCATTTATAATTTTCATTGGTATCTGGCAGTACGTAAAAATAATTCGCAGACATCCTGAATTGTTGTGTGAAGCTAGATCAGCTTCAGGGATTTACTTATAAGTTAATGAATTTCAAGGTTAATCAGATTCTAAGGCCTTGAATAGCTGAATAACTACATCAACATTTTGCTGCTGTTGGCAGCAGTTTTAAGGAACTAATGGAGTTTCTCACTGGTTTCTGTTAATATTTAACTGCTTATATTAATATTTTGTTGCATTTAATCTGCATCTGAACCCTCTTGTGGCTTTTGAGACCGCTCTTTAGTGCGTCTTTTTCTGTTTATCCACAACAATTTGTTGCTAGAGCTCGCTTGTTTATCTATAACTTGTACTACGTGTAGTTTTGATGCTGCTTTGGGGCCGAAAGGAACTATTAATACAAATCTTCGTTACATGTTAAGAAACCTTATAGTGTAATATATTGTTTTCATCAATACATCCATGAAACTTCCGGATGTTGTTGAAGCGTGTCAGCGGCTTTAAACGGGTGGGCGAGAGCGGCAGTTAGTGGTTTGTAATGTTTTGTCCGTTTTTGCAAATTGTTATTAGATTTGAAGGTATTTGAAAAATAACTAATTTGCGTGCTGTTATTTTTTTTTATCTGTTTATTTTTTTTCTTTTAAATTTAATTATATATTTTATGACAGCACTATCGGAGTGATTAAGTTCAAATGTCGTCTCAGGATGCCTGTTCTAGAGATCACTGTCTTAAATGTTGTTGGCGCAAATCAGTTAGCACTCTGGTATTTCTAGTTACCTTGATGAAGTTGAAGGGTTGTATCTGCCAAGTACCATCCATATACTTTGTTCTCCAATAGTATCACCTGCTTATCAACAAAGATTTACTTTCTTAAAATAATGGGAACGAGCTGTGTATGAAATTCTTAGCCTCAACCTTGCCAGTTTTTTTTGTTTTGCTGCTGAACCAATGATTCAACTCTGTTGTTTGGGAAGTATACTACGGATCATCAGTTTGGTGAAGTTTGTTTTCTAATTTCGTGATTGTGGATGAAAATGCAGTATTTTGAACAGCTTCAGGTAACGGGACCTCTATTGGCAATGGTCAAGCTACGTTTTATGAAGCTTTTGTTGGTGGTGTTCATGTTCGAAATGGATTAGATAACATTATGGAAAATCGGCATTCGACACTATCATTAATTTGATTTTTACGTAGATTTAGTGGCACTTCTCAAATTCTTGCAATTGTGGATTTATGACAAGTGTGCTGGGCATTGTGAATTTGGCAGTCAACTATTGTCTTTTTCATTTGGTCCTTTGATTTTTCAAAAACTTATCTTTTTTTGATTTTTACGGGCGCATCTGTCTATTTAAGTGGTGTGTTGTTCTCAAAAATCCCCTGCTTTGATGGATTCTCGTTTGTTGCGAGATCTACAGTTTTTGAAAACTTATGTTGTAAAAAAAAAAAAAGATGAGGGTTGGGAGGGGTGTAGTACGATTAGCTGGGGTAGTTATGGTCAAAGTTGAGATGGCTGTTAAATAGAGGTCGGATTGGCTAGTAGGAAGGGAGAGTTTAGAAAAGAAACGCTTTATTCTTTTGTCAGCGTCCTCTTTTATTCGAAATAAGCGATCTGTGGGGTGGGGGAATCGTTTACAGCACAACGTTCTATTAGTAAGGAAATGACTACGACTCGCGCAGGCTCTTCTTTGTTGCTTAAACACTTGTGGTTTTGGAACAGACGAAGCAAAAGCTTTCAGTTACGTCACAGTGTTGTTCAGTTTGGTACGAAAAGTAGCCAGTTGTTGCGCAGGATTTTTTCAATGAGACGGATTAATGGACAGTTTTAACGAGGGGATAGTAAGAGGAAAAAATGGTAATAGTAGAGGTACTGGGTTAGAACTTGGTGAAAAGCATAACTTTTTAACCATTAGAATACCAAAGTTCACAGCTTCGAATCCTCGCTTGAGCTGTCTTCGTTGATTACTGCCGACTTCGTCGGTCCCTAAAACTGATTGGGTAAATTCGGTGGACTTTATTATAGGCATATCAAAACTTCCTTAGTGCTACAGTCGTGACAGTGAAAAGAAAATCTGTACTGTTTTTGAAAAAAAGTTGTCCGCAACGGCTTTTTTAAGTCTGGATTTTTTTTATTTTGGTTTTAAACACCGTAGACTCATATGTCACCATGAATCAACAGTGCTTTTGACATGTGTCTATTAATATGAATATTTTTCGGACATTTCTTAGTTCTTTTTTGTCTTAAGTTCTTAAAGCTACGAATTTATTGAGATTGAAAAGTCATTTAAACATAACACGTTTTCAGAATCGTTCTTGTGAAGTAAAAAATTGAAATTACCTATCTGTTGTAAAAAGATACCTTTAGTGGCTATTGCATTGCGGTCATTCTTCAATAAACTTGTTTCTATGCAATAAATCAACTAAGACACAAAATTTGTGCCATTCAATTGGCTAAAAATTTTTGTTATCTCGGAAATATTTTGTTATAACTTTTGTTGCTGGTCAACAAACAATTAAATGATTTCAACAGGAATTCATGGAGCAGAAAAAATAGGGGAATTTTGCTGTCCGTAACGTTAAATACCTTTTTTCCATTCTTCCTACTGCTCCTGTGTTTTAGTTCTTGTTATTTCCCCTTCATTGTTCTGGAGGGCAACCAGAAGTCTTCTCTATCTCTCTCATTCCATCCTTTCTATCTCTTTGAGTTCAAAGAGAACATACGCTGCAAAGAGATGTGAATGTATTAACATAAAAACTGTAAAGAAGTTATTTCTGGAGGTTAGCAAAGAGGGATTGTTGTGTGTTATATGTTTGCCAAGAAGCTGTAAAAATGGGGCTAAAAGCAGCTGTAGCAGAGGGTAAGAAATAAAGCAAACGGGGCAAGTGCAGTTGAGTAAGGGATCCTCAAAAACCGATGATTTTTACTTTTAATTTGCGGCCTCTTCACAGAATTATTCTGGTTAATTTAGTAACGCTTTAGCCCGCTGTTTTGTTGCTGCTACCGCTTTTGTTCGGTATTGGTTGGTTCGTTGGTATTGGTATAGCGATTTTTGTTGATAACCAACCCAGCCGACTGCGGTTTTTCCTCGACAAAATTCGCTCATGTTCTGCGCTCCCTCTATCGTAGCACTTATCAACAAACTGCTTACAAAAAAAAAAAAAAAAAAAAAAAAAA